CAACGTCGGGCCCTTGACGGGATTCGAACCCACGACCTTACGGTTGCGAGTCCGAGAGCCTAACCACTAGGCCACCGACGCCACATATTATGCGGTAGATAAATCTTACTGATGTATTTTTGGTGAGTCAGTACATATTATGCAGTAGATAAATTTTACTGATGTATTTTTGGTGAGTCAGTACATATTATGCGGTAGATAAATCTTACTGATGTATTTTTGGTGAGTCAGTACATATTATGCGGTAGATAAATCTTACTGATGTATTTTTGGTGAGTTAGTACATATCAATATCATGTAAATATTTACTGATGCATGTTGTTTGTGAGAAGGAAACGGAAACAATTTCACACAACATACCTGGGAGTCTCTTAAAGTCCTTGAGCACTCGAATTCTTGTCATTTGAAAACGATTCGAGATGAGCTGCTAACGGCGATTAAGAAAAAATAAGAAACGTAACTACACGTTCGATGAGTAGGATCCGCCGTCACTTGGGCAAAGTTTAAAATTAATTCCTACCAAACTGAAAATACTTAAACTTAATTTGTCCCGCGCGCTCATATGACCTTATGCAGTTGCAAGCGCCGTAAATCGTTTACCAAAACCAAAGAAACAGAACAGAAGATCGCGCAGTGGACACAAAGCGCTACAGAGCTCATTTCGGAACATTTATTGACAGAGGGACAGAACAAAAACATGATATTTAAAACATGGTCATGAGATCAAGACGAAATATCGTTATAATAATAGTAGTATTCAACCAAGTCGTAAAAATGTATTTGGCATTTTAGTTAAAGCAGAAATTTGCCAACAAAAGGAAACGCTTCATTTGCTTCAAGGGCAGTAATATGGCCTAAGGTAGGAGAGAGGGATAACAGTGAGTTGATTCCCCTTACAGTGCCAGGTCAACAGGTGCAACTTCACTGAAAGCAGAGGTGGGCGAAATCCGGATAATCTACATGGACAACCGGATAATTCTCAATGAAACATTATCCGGATTAAGACTCTTAACCTTCTTTCCTGACCCGTTTGCCGAAGAGGTGCACTAACATAATTAATATCCGGATTTTGCTAAAGCGACCCATTGCCCAGCCCTAAAGAGTCTTGTCCCACGTCACTTCTCTAATCCTGGACAAAGACCGGGAATGATATCACAAAAAAGTGGCAAAATTAAAGGTAGAGGTTTAACGCCCCTGTCAGCACTATTGTATTAGTATTAGGTTATTTAAAAGGCGGGACCTCCGAGTTTACCGTCTCTCTCAACGAAAGGAACGAGCCAGTCAATGGGGGAAGTGTCAAGTGTTTTTCCTTTCCCAAGGACCCTGGCGACGGGCCGAGCTGAGGCTCGAACCCCCGAACCAGTAGTCTAACGATTGCGAGTCCGGTAACCTTACCACTAGACTACCTACGTCACAGTCTAACGATTGCGAGTCCGGTAACCTAACCACTAGACACCCACAATCCAAGGATTGCGAGTCCGGTAACCTAACCACTAGACACCCACAATCCAAGGATTGCGAGTCCGGTAACCTAACTACTAGACACCCACAATCCAAGGATTGCGAGTCCGGTAACCTAACCACCAGACCACCCACGCCACCCACAATCCAAGGATTGCGAGCCCGGTAACCTAACCACTAGACACTCACAATCCAAGGATTGCGAGTCCGGTAACCTAACCACTAGACACCCACAATCCAAGGATTGCGAGTCCGGTAACCTAACTACTAGACACCCACAATCCAAGGATTGCGAGTCCGGTAACCTAACCACCAGACACCCACAATCCAAGGATTGCGGTAACCTAACCACCAGACCACCCACGCCACCATTGTACCACAGATTCTACAACGACATGTATTTTGGGCAATGAAAAAAAGCAAGAAATTTTCCTTCGGGATTCGGCCAACTTTTAATCTGTGTACTACGCTAGGTATATATTATTTTGTTCAAACACTATGTCTAGGAAGAAACAACGATTTGTTATAGTTTTAGTAAAAGTTTTACGGCACAAACAGATCACAGAAGTGCCGAAGATTAGAGGTCTGACTGAGACGTAACTTACAAAGAAAAGATGAGGGGAGAGGTAAGGACGATAGATGTTTGATGGGAAAGAAGGAGGAGAGATAAGGACGATAGATGTTTGATAGGAAAGAAGGAGGAGAGGTAAGGACGATAGATGTTTGATAGGAGAGAAGGAGGAGAGATAAGGACGATAGATGTTTGATAGGAGAGAAGGAGGAGAGATAAGGACGATAGATGTTTGATAGGAGAGAAGGAGAAAAGATAAAGATGATAGACGTTTGATAGGAAAGAAAAAGCAAACCACATCAGAGCCCCCACAAACCACCCAAGAAGGAAATTGAAGTAAGTAGGAATCTGAGAATAATATTTTTCAAGTAGTGCGGTCTGTCCAAGGGTTGAGCGAAAACTTGATAGATACGTGGAAAGCCGAGAATATTTTTGTTCAACTAGTCTACTGTGTAGATCTATTTGTCCATGTCCAATGAAAACAGTAACATAAAGGAGGGTGGAAAGCTGAGAATATGTTTTTCTTTTAATTACTGTCTTTTATATATTATTATATGTCCATGCTCAAAGGAAAATAATGACTTAATTACAGGAGGTGGAAAGCTGAGAATGTTTTTTTGTTTCAAGTACTGTCTTCTATCATGTATATTATGATGTCCATGCTCTCGGAAAGGAATAACTTACAGGAGGTAGAAAGCTGAGAATTTCTGTTGAGAGTAGGCTACTGCCTTCTCTGTTCTTGTCCAAGGGGAAAAATACCATTAACGAACGTGAATGGAAAACAATTTTTGAAGCACTGTCGTTTGCCCAAGTGCAAGGAAATAAAACTATGAAGTGAGAATTGCTGAGAAAATAGGCTACCTCTCGGATTTTACCTCTATGCAAATTCATACGTCAAATTTGTATGTGGAGTTTGTACATTTTGTAAGTTTGAAATAATAAAAGACATTTAAACTTGAAGAAAATGGCATCATTTGAAATAAATCTGTCTATAAATCTGTCCCCAGTGTCGATTTCAGGCAGATATCTCCATTCTTGAATTGCGAGAAGTAACTCATTTTGTCTGCACGCCTCACGGAAAGCTGAGAGTTGAATATCTCGAGCTCTAGATTCATTTGACTATTAGTGTCCTTCAAACACGTACCCCATGCGGGTACAGAGGGAGAGAAGAGAGATTGATTGGAAGAGATGTTCAGTATGAAGGACAAATAGGATTCGATTCCTCTCATTCACCCAATACCCCCCAATATAGAGAAGAGGAATATCATGCAGAATTACATTTATAATGCGGTCAAAAATGCTTGGCGCAACTTGTCTTCAAATATCTTTATAACGGGTGAATCAATGTCACCCATACTTAACACAGCAGTATGAATCAATTTGTCTTAATTAACTAAATCATATTTTTTTACAACAGTTTCGGATAAATTAAGTAACTTTCCTTCATAAATTTACATAAAATACTACAAAGTCATGTCTTTCACGCAGAAAATGGAATTGTTCACAGCACTTCCCGCCTCTCACACACATTTTTGCGAAGCATATGACTTACGTCACAGCTTGCCAATGACACTTTTTTACGGCAAAACTTCTTACAAAAAATTAATTTCATTGGGAACACTTTTTTGTACATACTAAAAGTTCCCAAAACATGGGTTCAATAGACATAATCTCGCGATAAGACAAGAGATGACAGACTTGCTTTTAACAGCGATATAGTCCCACCTGTAAATCTGTAGAAACCATCTACTGGGATTTTTTCATTAGTACTTATTAAGGAATTTTCCAGAATCGAACTGAAATGTGTTTACAAAAATATTGATCTACCTTTAAGACAAATTAATACAAGTCGCTTTGCAAAAGCTGGAGAGTTTATGTTCTATAGTTGAGAAGATATCTGACAATAAGTTGTGTTATGAATTTTTGACCGCACTATAAGTAATTTTCTGCTCACTGCACATGTGGTTTTTGTCTCCTGTAAACTCTCTGACTGTCTAACACTGGACACAGGATCACGAGCAGTGCAGTCATTTCACTTTCTACAACAGTGGACTTAAACAAGATGTTCCAACGTCTTCAAAATATCAAGATGTTCCCACAGCAGAGAGCAGTTTAGTAATACCAAGCGCAGAGGAATTGGAGCATTCACATTGGTAAATGTATTCATACTTATTCTGTCATGAAATAATTTGATTTGGAAGTTTTGAAGTATTCAAATGCCCCACCCCCTCCCCCTCATTTTGAATCGTTATTTCCCCTCGTGGTAAGCTATAATACATGTATTATTATAATAACGAACTGTCCACTTTGTGACCAGCGTAGCACCCACCTACCTGCCTCCCCAGACATCGGAAACACTCTATACAGCGACAAAGCACAGCTGATTAAAACCTGTCAATTCTTTGCCATATCGACAGACCGAAGGGCTAGAACCCAAATGGCCGCTGGATCGGAAAAAGTAAAAGTAAAGTATAACAACGAACTGTGCAGTATCGCTAGCCTTTGATCAAAATTGTATTCCGCCGTATGTGTGTGTTTATATTTAGGAAGAATGAACGTACAAAAATTTCAGGATGGACAAAATACCAAATTTTAAGAATCTGGCCAAATTGCTACCTTAGAATCACAAAGTTCTATCTGACATTTTTGGCCGTTTTGAGTAACTAAGACCATGAGGTCAGGAACCAAATGTTCTATCTGCTGTTCTGTCAAAATCGTACCATCATTCGGAGTCGTTACCAAGATATTCAAAGACGTGCTTTCGGAAAAGCTTGACACGTTGTGAAACTCAAAAGTTTTGACGTCAAATTTCTCAAAACTAGGTACTGAGTTACTCAAAACTAGGTACTGAGTTACTCAAAACTAGGTACTGAGTTACTCAAAACTAGGTACTGAGTTACTCAAAACTAGGTACTGCGTTACTCAAAACTAGGTACTGTGTCACTCACTCAAAACTAGGTACTGCGGTACTCAAAACTAGGTACTGCGGTACTCAAAACTAGGTACTGCGGTACTCAAAACTAGGTACTGTGAAGATAGAACTTTGTAATTCTGCGGAAGCAAAGAGGAAATGAACAAATGCACATCTAGATACATTTCCGACACGCAGGGGGCAGCTACACAAGTCGATATCTTTCCCTGAAAGGAAAACAAACAAACCTCGTGGCGCGCGCGCACGCACAAATACACACACACGCACACACACACACACACACACACACACACACGCACACACACACA